GATGGCAACATCTTGGTCAGTTGTGTCGAGTGCAACGTTGCTCGTAAAGATATGTCATTGAAAGGGTTTCGGTACAAGAAGCTCCTCGAGTTCAACTCAGACAGGCTCGTTTATAGCATCGATAAGGAGGAAAAAGAAATCTACGCTAAGATGAAGGCTAATATCGCTGGTGGCCCATCCATTATCTTTAACCGATATGCCAAGCGCAACGAGACGAAGATTCGAGGTGGAAAGATTTGTAAGAAGATCATTGGATACGACGCCAACGCACTATATTTGTGGGCACTTGGTAATGAGATGCCATGCGGACGATTGACTACGATCGAAGCCTATCCAGGCATCATCGATGACATCAAGGCCGACAAGATCTTCGGTTTCCTTGAGTGTGATATTCGTACGCCCGATCACTTAAAAGACTATTTCAGTGAAATGACCCCAATCTTCAAAAATGCCTTGATCGATTGCACCGATGAGGCGATTGTCGGATCGCACATGTTCAAATACAATGAAGCACGCAAGCAAAGCCGATCCAAACCAGCTCGCAAACTCATTGGAAGCTATTTCGGAGAGAAGATACTCATATACACTCCATTGCTGAAGTGGTATCTCTCCCATGGAATGGAAATCACCAAGACTTACAGCTTCATCAAGGCCAGCTCTCACAAGGCATTCGCTCCATTCATGGAAGCTGTTTCAAACGCTCGACGAGAGGGCGATGCTGACAAGTCTAAGGCTATGATTGCAGAGATGATGAAATTGGTAGGAAATAGCGCTTTCGGGCGTAGTGGCATGGATATGAGTAAGCATAAGGAAGTCAAGTACGAATCAGATGATAAGGCAGTTAAGTCCAAGATTGAGCACTTCACGTTCCATGGACTAGAGGAGCTCAACGGTTCCTGTGAGATTACGATGAAGAAGCGTCGCCTCAAAAACAAGAACCCTATTCATCTCAGTATCGCTATTTATCAGCTAGCCAAGCTGCGCATGCTACAGTTCTACTACGACTGCATTGACTTCTACTTTGATCGTAGTGATTTCCAATACCAAGAAATGGATACCGACTCAGCTTACATGGCGTTCAGTTGCGAAAATCCTTTTCAAAACTGTATCAGGCCTGAGCTACGCGACCACTTCCAAAAGCATAAATATGAGTGGTTCCCACGCGACTACAACGATGAGGTAGCGAAGTTCGATCGACGTACACCAGGACTATTCAAAGATGAATGGACAGGTAATGCGATGGTCTCGTTGTCATCCAAGAACTACATCTGCTATTTACCTGACGAATCGTACAAGGTCAAGGTTTCAGCAAAAGGAGTTCAGCAAGGTCATGGTCGCAATGAGGATGTGCTTAATCCAAATGGTTTCGAGACTGTTGTCCGAGACCGTATCACGCTACAAGGTACCAACAAGGGATTTCGACTTAGTAAGGAGACAAAGTCAATTATTACGTATAGTCAGACGAAGACGGCCTTGTCATATTATTACGATAAGCGCCGAGTCCTCGAAGATGGCATCACGACGCGACCTCTCGACATTTAGATTTAGCACTGGAGAAAGCTATTTTTAAATAAATATATTTGATACTTTTAGTATCATAATATACCATCATGATAGGACGAGTTTATAAAATCATTGACTCTCAAAGCGACATTTGTTATATTGGTTCCACCTGTAGTGAGTTAAAGGTGAGATGGATGCGTCATAAGCAAGATTATTCTAAATGGTTAAAAGGAGGGCACAGAAACGTTTCGATGTATCCATACTTCAAGAAACATGGAATTGATAGATTTAAAATATTTTTAATTAAGGAATATGAAATTTGTGATCGGACCCACCTATCTACCTATGAACAACTCTGGATCAATAAAATGAGAAGGGTTTGTGTAAATAAAAGCAATCCTTTCTATATCCCTAAATTGTCTAATAAAAAGCGCTACGAAGACAATAAGCCATCTCGTTTGGAGAAAATGCGGGAATGGTCAAAAGCTCACAAAGATAAAAAACGAGCTCAACAGAATGCAAAGCATATTTGTGAATGTGGGTCACAATACTCATAAGCAAACAAAAATCGACATTTACGATCTCAAAAACACCAGACGTGGCTTGATATCTAATTAATATGCCTCTGGGAGGAAGGCATTTTTTTATATTAAATGATATAGACTATGGATGAACTACTGAAAAAGCTGTACTATGACCCCAAAACGGGCTATGTGGGTGCCCAAGCATTATATCAGAAGGCGAAGGACTTAAACCATAAAATTACCTTTAAAATAGTCAAAGACTGGTATAAGGGCCAAGCTGAGATACAGCGGTTTCAAGATCAGAAAAAACGGTTCGATGGGTTTAGAATTGCTTCTCATAACCCCAACTCTTGGCAAATAGATCTCGCGTTTTGGGAAAAGAGACCGATATTGACGGCGGTCAACATCAACTCGCGGATTGGGTACGCAAAGCTTCTATCAAACAAGACCGCGCAAGTTGTTTTAGCATCTATTAAAGCTTTTGTACGGATACATAAAATTAACATAATCACAAGCGATAATGGAAGCGAATTTATGAATGCACAGCTTCAAGCCTTCTTTAAAAGCAAGAAGATCGACCACTTCAACAACGAGCCTGGAGATCACGGAACGATGGGGAAAATTGAGCGATTTAATAGGACCATCAAGCAGAGGCTAACGAAGATATCACCAAAGCGTATATCTCAGAAGCTGATAAGCGATGTCATTGAAAACTACAATTCTACTTTCAATCGATCCATCGGCATGACCCCAAACGAAGCCATAGGAAAGGTAATGGAATCAGAACTTACACATAACCAGGAAGTAGCTGACAAGGTCGAGAACGAGTTTGAGGTTGGCTCACACGTTATGTATCGTCTAAAAAAGCAGACGTTTGATAAAGAAGC